CCAACCCCCCCCACCCCGCTATTCCCCTCACTTTCAGTTAGGCTCTCATTGTTAAAATTGCTTCCATTAATCCTCACAATATTACATTTTACAGATTTAAAAAAGACTATTAAGTAAATTACAAGCACCTACATAACCTTTTAAAGGGAAATGTGTCAGTGTGATTTGTATATTAGCTAGTTTCCAGTCTTTTTTAGAACTTCTTAAAATTGTCTGTTTTCTAGACCCTTTTATCACCAGAACACTGTGTAATCTTATAGTTGCTCTAAAATTTTGAAATTTCCTTGGTTTAATATTTGTTCACTCAAGGGTCCCATTGACTTTTCTTTATTAGCTGAAACCTGTTAAGTTCTTTCTAGAATAAACTGAGATATGTAACATTTTTACAATCCTATAGAGAGAATATGAATTCCTATGCAAGAAGGAAGAATGTAGGTTTTGGCTAATTAAATAAAAATTGTTCATAGATGTGAGTATCCAGTAGATGTAATCCTTCAAGTGGAAGAGCAGTCAATCATCTCCTGTATGTGTTCTAAATCTAAAACCAGAAATTTTGCTTAGCAGCCATGAACAAGAAAAAACCCTCAATATCATCACATTGTTGGATGTACAGTGCCTGTAACGCTGCTTATGAGAATGCTTTCGGTCAAGACAGGTTCTCCCCCTTCCTGCCAGGCCACTTTGCTTGGTTGTTGTCGTGGTTTAACCTGGCAGGCAGCCAAATACCACGCAGCTGCTCACTCACTCCCCGCCCCCCCCAGTGGGACGGGGAGAGAATCGGGAGGGGAAGAGTGAGAAAAACTCGTGAGTTGAGATAAAGACAGTTTAATAAAACAGAAAAGGGAGAATAATAATGATAATGATAAAATATACAAAATAAGTGATGCGCAATGCAATTGCTCACCACCCGCGCTGACCGATAACCAGGTAGCGATCGGTACTTCCTGGATCACGCCTACCATTCATATACTGAGCATGATGTCACATGGTATGGAATACCCCATTAGCCAGCTGAGCTGGCTGTCCTGATGATGTTCCCTCCCATCTTGTGTACCTAGCTCAGTCAGTAGGCATGGGAGCTGTCCTTGGACTAGCAGGATACTTAGCAACAACTGAAAACATCAGTGTGTTATCAACATTCTCCTCATACTAAATCCAAAACACAGCACTAGCAAGAAATTTAACCCTATCCCAGCCGAAACCAGGACAGTTGTGTAAAGCTTGGTCAACAGGTCAATGAGAAGTTATGGCAGCTCAGTATACCTCAAGTTGACCATTTACCACAAGCTCAGAAAGTTTCATCATAGTAAGATGGATACTTGCTGTGATTATTGTCTACAATGATAGTCATATTAGCAAATGCTAGGCCACAGTGTGTTCAGCACGCTGTCCCGAAAAATGGCAGGTCATGGCTCTATGTTACGACCAATTACAGGGGCATATTTTGCTATATATGGAGAACTGGGATGTGTAGATCCCATTTTGTAGAATGGGATCTACAAAGACTAGCATGCCGGGTGGGGATCCTGTCTAAGCAAGCTTGTAGGAAAAGAAAGATAAATCTCTCTGAACTCTGCGTCCTCTTTCAAATGGTCTGCCTTGCCCTGAGCCATGGGGAAATGCTTCTCTCCCTTCACTGGTCTCAACATTGTGTTTTTTTAAAAAAAAAAATTAGAAAGGAGACAATCTTTCTTCTTAAGGCATGACCACAAAGAAGTGGTGTTAATAGTAGCTGTTTATTGACTGAAGTTTCGATCTTACCTGGGCGTACTTATACTCTTCTAGAGAAGAAATTCTTGTCCTGTTAAAAAGTGAACGCATTTGTCATTTTGAACTCCATATTTGCTCAGCTGTTGAAGTGAGGATGCATAGTGAAAGTACTTAGCATTTAGGTAGACACGAATATTAGTTTGCAAAATCATAATTTAAATATAGTGAAAACTGCACGTACAGTAATGAGGCAGAAGCAGCATTTGGGAATTGGGACTATCCGGTGGTAACCGCTGAGGCACACACACCAGCTGAGCAGAGTTGTTTTGTGGATCACTTCCTACAAGCATAGCCTGTATCAGCACTTTAAACGGTTCGTGAGGGAGGCTTGATCTTTCCTTCTGACTCATTGAGTCTCTAATCTTTTCATACAAATGGAGCTTCTTAAATAGAAGCGGAGAGCCCCTTCCCAGATTGAGATGCAGTTGAGAGGGTTAGTCATAATCTTGGAAGATGTGAGATGCAAGTTTGAATCTTTTTGAAGCAGATGAAGGAGCTGAATCTAGATTTTTCTGTCTTGGATACAGAAAATTGCTTAAGCGAGGAAACTGTTGGGTTTTGGCATTGTGACTTCTTTACTGTCATTCTCTTGCTTAGTCATTCAGGCATTTTTAAAAATATGACCTAATTTGGACCCTGCAGGTGTGATGGATGACAGCATATTTTCCAGTGGGGAAATTAAGGCTGATCTGTAAGCCCAAGGTTATATCCCAAAGCAACAGTGTGGTGCTGGCAACAACTAACTAATTTCTCATGTGGAGCTAGTAGGGTACAGATTAATTTATAGCTTAAGAATAGCAAAAGATAAACAATTTGGGGGTGTGTAGGAAGTGATTTAAAACATAACTACTTTCTCAGTTCTTTCTTTTTGGATTTGTACACGTTACAGAGATACTATACACTATGTTTTATGCTTCCTCATCATGAATGTTTTCAGAGTGTTCTTAGCAAGGTGGACATGACATATCTTTTAATAACTTCAACTAATAAAAACTAACAAAAAATTACCTTATATTATAGGGAAATTACGAGTATAGAAAATCTCTTCCAGAAGAGCCAACTCCCTCTCCAACAGCTCACCCCCCAATTTGATAAATAAAGCAGAAACACAGTATAAAACAGTAGGTTGATGATAATGTTTAAATGGATTATCACAGGTATCCAGAGAGAAGCCTAAGAGACTTGCAGTCTCTTAGGGGTTTTGCAGGGGTTTTGATGAAGACGGTAGCTGCCTGGTTTGTGGAAGGAAGGCTATTCTGTATGCAAGGACAGAGTGGGTGAAAAAGGTGTAGGGCTCCATGCATCTGTTTCATTAATTCTGAAAGCTGAACAAAGACCGCTTACATGGTCGGTTGACTGGTAATCCTGTGTATCATTTCCTGAGTTTTCAGTTTTCAGAACTGGAGGACATAAAAGAAAAGGGGAGCATTGAAGAGAGGAACAGTGAAAAAAGTTATGTGTATTATTTTTTTAAATATATGAAATTATGCTTTTAAAGAGTTTCAGTGTAGTTTTTATTTGTTAGTTGGAGGCAAATACTTTTTCTTCTTTAGGTATGCATTACAGGCCACATTCTTAAAATAGTGGGGTGGTTGTAGTGTATGACGCGATTTCTTATGTTTCTGTTTATATTTCAGATAAATACACTCAAATACTTAACCTAATGTAAGATTTAACTTTTGAATGTTCTTGAATTCATGGACATTTAATATGTATTTAAATTGCCTCCTGTATAAGCTTTCAAACCCATTTATGTGTGTATTTGTTTTAACAGGCTGTTAAAAATGAAGTGAATGTGCCATGTTTGAAAAATTTTGTGGAGATGCTTTATCAGACTACCTTTGAATTGAGTTCAAGAAAGAAGCATTCGCTGGTATTTCAAAGAAATATTTCAACTTCTCCATTTTGCTCATTGTAGACTTTTAAGCTAGTACATTATATGAGGAAAAGCTAACAGCTGTATTAATTTAAATCTTCACTCCCCAGTTGAAGTGTAATTAAATTCACAACTTGTGTGCAGGATATGTGCTCTGTTATCTCACTTGTGAGACTGTATTGAAATTAATGCTTGTTTTTGATTATTTTAGTGGGTTTTAGCACAGAGTTATTTAACCTAACGTCTCTTCTAAAAAGAACTTGCATTCAGGGAGTCTGTGTATTTAAATTATGTTTAATTGAAAGATGGAAGAAGATGGAAGCGTCAGACAAGACTTTTTCAGCAAAATAGCAGCCTGTTAATAGCCCTGCTCTGCCTGTTTTCTCCTCTCCTCATATGCTCTGTTTCTCTTTTTCCAATATTTTTTATTATCTCTTTCGGATATAAATATCTGTGGTTTTTTTCCCCCTAAGACCTCATGTTAGCTTTTCCCCTAAAACTGCATCTTAACAAGGATTTAAATCTCTTATTAATGCAGTATTTGGTAATTCTTGATGACCATGGCAACCATGTTTCAAGTTGATTCACTTCACTTTGCTGGAAATGTAGAGCTGAGTTTTGCATTACAATTGGCATATTCAGTAAATGCAAGTGAATATAAAATGATTTATCCTCACTTTCATGTTAAGGACGAGCTTTACTTTCTGGTATTCTGAGCATATAAAGCATATGTCATTGTACATTGTTTAACTCCTTATGTAAGAATGACATAAAGTAGTTGATGTTAGTATTCACAATGTCATTTTATTTATGAAGTCAGAAGATTACATCAAGATTACAATTTACCTATTTTTCCTCATTCTTTAATTTTGCTCCCTAACAAGATAATCTGCAGTCAGATCTGGTATTAATCACCATTATATATTCTGTTAAAGTATGATTAAACAAGTCTTATGTTACTAAAGCAAAGCAAAGTCATGCTAGTCTGCATATTCAAAGACTTCATTAAATTGTGCTTCATTCCTTACCAAAAGTAGACCTTGAGGACAAGTAACATTTCTGACAACCTAAGGTCTGCCTCGGTTTTTACTGAGTTGATGATGTTTTTCCCAAATATTCTTCTTAGAGGCAGTTCCCCCTCCCAGCATGTAGGACCCCATGAATTGAATCATGTGGTTGCAATGAGATCTGCTCACAGTCTTTGTTTGAGATCAGGCCTTGCTAGGGGATGAGCTTCACCGTGGTCCCACTGCCCCAGTCTTACACCATGGGCTCTTATAGCACATAGGTTATACCCAGGACACCATGCCTGGCACGTGTGTCCTAGTGCAGGGGAAGGGCTGCTGTGCAATGCTAAAACTGTGAGAGTGAGAGACAAGAACTGACTGTGTATCTCATTCTCAATGTACAAGACTTTGGAGGTCTGCAAAGAGCAATTTGATCAATTCTTTTTCCCCCCTACTCATAGGCTTTGTATCCATTGATCACCTGCCTGTTGTGTGTCAGTCAGAAACAGTTTTTTTTAAATAACTGGCACGTTTTCCTGCAGAACTGTTTGTCACATCTAAAGGTAAGAATCCTTTTCAATTCAGGAACTGTTGCAAATCAATAGCATTTATTCCGATATGTTCTCAGCGTTCTTGTGCCAAATAAACAATGAATATTTTGCTGTTTAAAAGGACACTGTGAAATATATTAAACTTAGTAGTAAGTTTTTATGATGCTATGTAATGCTGGAAATAGATGTGGTCCCCTTGGGGACCATCAGGTTTACTGAGTCAAATCTGCAGGAGAAGTATCTGCTAATAAACGTTATTTATGCCAGAGGAAGTAGAAACTGTAATTCTTCATGTGCAAGTTATATGTGAGAAAATAGGTAGCTTGTCTACTCCTTTAAGTAGAATGTATAGTAAGTGCAAAATTTCTCTCTTGTTCACTTATTGAAGGAACAGAAAATGAATTGGGAGTCCAGAAAAGAGATTATATCTGCAGCCTGTGAGATACATTTTCCAAATAAAAATTACAGTGTCCCTTTAACTCATGGCTTCAGTTGATAGCATTGTAAACATGAGTTGATTGATAAAGAGATCAAGATACTTAGAAATTAGGGATTTGTTTTAGTGACTTTCTTGCAGCATTAATTGTCTTTCCTTAATTTTGATTAACATAGTTCATGATTTTGCCTAATGTATTGATTTTTATAATTATAATAAATTCTTTGATCCACCTTCACAATATTCATTCTGGTTAGGTGTGAGTGACAATTCTGAACTTGTTAGTACAATACGTAAAACAGCATGAAGTCAAAATCAAACAGGTTTAGCTGCTTGGATTTTTTTCTAAGGGTCATTTTGTTTTCATGACATCTTCCACACTTTCCTGTTGCTTGTTGGGTTTTTGTATATTTTTCATCTAACATTGCAGTTCTTTTGCAATATTTGCCGTGATTTTTGTTTTGTTGTTTATTTTGCTTATGGAAGCTGCTTTGTGCTTTTGTTTTTAAAGCTTTTAAAAAAATACTTACAATCTAGGAGTTGCATTTTTCTGGCATAATGTCCATTGCTGATAATGGATGTATTAAAACTAAAAATGCCAGTGAGTTTAACTGGTAGCTGCTGAGCATGCATTTTATATTTTACTTAGTTTTGTTAACCACTAACAGCTTAACACGTTTCCTGTAAGGCTCTATTCAGTAGAAATTCTACATAGGAATTTCTGCAATTCAGCATTTGCAGTGTTATGATTCTGTGCCATTAATGAGTTATTTAGGATATTTTATGGCTTGGTTTAATTTGGCCCACCAAATACTATTGGTTTTTTGGGTGCCTACCTTGTTCAGAAACTTTGAGTTTAATCTTGAAAAATACACCCCCACTGTCCTCATGTGTCTTATGAATTAATGTGTTCCTTTGTTTCTGAAGCTAATTAAATGCATGCACTCTGTAATAAGTAATCTCATTAATTTATAAATTTGAATTTCACAACAGTTTAGTCTTTTAGATTTCCCCTTCCCCATTGTATTTCCTGATTTCTTAATGACTAAAGTTATTTTATTTGCAGTTGCCTAAATATGTAAAATGCAATAAGGATTCCAAATCCATTGTCTCTAGTGTCTTTGTTATTTAATAAAGTAATTTTGAGAGTTACTGGGAGATACTTTAGAGTACTGAAAAGGTTCATCCACCCTTACCGTATTAGTTAAAATTAAAAAATTAGCAATTGAAATAACGACAACACTTAGACTCTGTTGCAGGGATATTCTATGAAGAGTGCAGGCCCATTAGCAAGTCGCCAAGAGGTGACATAGGTCATGGATTCATGGTGCTTACTTTATTCCCTGGTGAGTGCCCAGCGCAAACTCTTACCTAGCAATGAACACCACGTGGTCACACTTTGGTGACAGAAATAAGCGATTTCCCATTTGCCATGGTGTGAAAGTTCACATCTTTGCAGTTGCTCCATAGAACCTGATGCATAGTATATTCTTACCCTGCCTTACCCTGCAGTATTTCAGTGCTACATTGTACTTGATAATGCTCCTGAGAGTGCTCTGAATCCTAATCCAGTACTAGCAATATTTATTGCCCTTGTAAACAATTTGTACTAGGTTTCAGTGCACACTACCTTTAGTTATCCTCAAAGCAGGCTTATTGTAGGGGAAACCATCTAGCCTTGCTGAAAGGAGGGAGCCTAGGGGTCTGGACCGATGCAAATAGCAGATAAGTGAGTTGTAAGAGTCAGTTTAGACTGGGAGTGTACCAAAGGGTGTTTCTTGGTATACGTATAGCTGGCCTTGTCCCACAAAGCAGTTGGGATGCTGTTTCAGCACTGAGCCCAGCAGGGCATTTCTTTACACACAGTAGTGTAGATCAGCAGTGACACGGGGTCAGTATTGTAAAACGTTTTGCTTACTTTTTTGACTAGTATTTAGATAGACTAATTCTAGCAGGTTTGTCAGAAAGCTGATAGGTTCTTGGATGAAGCTGAGTTGTCGTGGTACCCTTACCACCTCTTCTGGGAAGAGGAAGGAACATTTAAGAAAGCTGCTGAAATGGGAGGGGAAAGTGTCTATCACTCTGCACCACTGTTGGGTGGAAAAGAATATTTTTTTTTCACGGTTTAACCTTAGTGTCTGTTACCACAAAACCTTGAAGGTTGGAGGAACGTTTTCTGCCACTGTAGGAAAACCTGTATTTCTACTGAATAGAGTCCTTACTAGACAGCTATCTGTTGTTTTTGTGCTTTTTTTCATCTAACATGCATGTGCCTTCCATTCTCATGTTTGTTATGTTTTGCTGTCTCACATTGCTTTATTTAGATGCCATCTAACAACAGTATCAGAAAACAAATAGAAACACTGCAGGTGAGTTAATATGTTGTTATAACTCAGTGAAACGTTGCTTTGTCTCATGTAAATACTTTGTTTTGTTTTTATATGTTAATTGTTGTATTTTGTGCTTTCCTTTCTTTGTAAAACTGCTGTTAGTACTGTTAAGAAGCAACAGGACTAAGAATAGCTAATGTTTCAAAGATCCTTTTTTATTGCCAGGGATTAAAGGAGAAAGATCAGAAAATGATCTAATATCAGTTTTTCCTTGGGGGTGAAAAAGTGGCTTTGTGAGATTGAATATCAATATCACAGCTGGTTTCCCTGAACAGCAGTGCATGTTTCCACTGGAAGTAAACTACCTATTCAGATGTATGGTTTTTTCTGTTAATTCATTTCAAAAAGTGTCTTGCATGTGAGCAAACTTGAAAACATTTTCACAATAAAAAAAATGTGAAACTGATTTACTGTAACAACTTTCAGTGCACTAACCTGAAAGACTTTTACACTGTTGGTTTTGCAGGTTTTAAAAAGTAGAAATTGTTTTAGTTCAGAACAGAAGAAAAGTTTAACATCAGTGTTAAAAAGTACTTTCTTCAGTAAGTGACTACATTTGACTAACATGGAAAAAATGCTATTTTGTTTCTTGCCTTCATTGAGATATGTTTCATTGACTCATCTTAATGTGTCATGTAAGACCACTGTAGATTTGCTCTTAGTTTTTTGGTTTTGTCACAGAGATACAGTTCTTGAACACTTATTCCATCGTCTGCTGATACAATTTATGTTAAAAGTTTTAGTATTTTAAACAAAACTATGTTGAAAAAAACCCCAGATAGATTCCTTTAAAGTCTGACAGGCATCAGCTAAAAAGACTGAAATTCAGCCAGGTTGGTGAATTATGCAGCCATATATACTGTATTCTAGTTGCAGTAATCTCAAAGAGAAAATGAAATACTGACATATTAACACCAAGTGTACAAGAAGTGTGCCATAAATTAGACCCAAAAAGCCGTTTTCTTCCAGCGTATTTGTTTAGTTCCTAATTATAGAAAGAGATAATGAAAATTTTCAAAGCTTAAGAAATTAGAAGTACTGCTGTGTTTATTTTGTGACCTTTTTAAAAAGGTGAATGCCTCCTTATACTTTTTTTAACAAAGAAGCAAATTTTGTCATAACTAATCAGAAGTAGCTATTTTGAATGATAAACCTCCTAACAAATGGAATATTGTTAACACATTGTAAAATATCTGCAACCTATACAATTTTTTTGATTAGATGATTGGAAACCAATAGTAAATTTTTGGTTTTCTTCTGGACCTGTAAATTAAGCTCCCCTTTGGAATATCAGAAGTAAGAAAATTGAAGCATTACTCTAGTTCTAGATAGACTTTGATAATGCATGTACCAATGAATTCACCAGCCTACTTTGAACATCAAGAACTGTTGGCCTGTAGATGAAATATGATGAATAATAATATCATGGTTTTTTGCTGTTTAAGTTGATCAAAATCAAAGCTATCACAGTCTCACCCTGTCGTACAATTATGAGCGTTTGCTTTTTCCTCACGGTAGCACTGCTGGTAAATTAACTGCACAGTGAGACAGTTATTTGTCTGAATACTAACCAGGGACAGGTGTAGCTTTTTACTAGTTAGATTTTGTCCAGATCACCTTCCTAAATTTACTTGCTGCCTAGTTGCAGGTCTGCTAATTCAGAGGCGATGGCAGGAACACATTGATGAGTGTGAAGGGAGGGTAGAACAGCATTATCACTGACGTAGACTGGGTTGAGTTATTCCCCCTAATATTCTGATAAACCGTCATGTATGTTATATGTCTGTGAAGTACCACTTTTGCCTCTGTGATTTTGTGGTGGGCTTTTAGCCTTTCTTAAAGTAAGCTGCTGCTGAAACCAGTAGTCGCGACCCACCCGTGTTAAAGCCATCCAAAATACTCTCCTTTGTATAGTCTATTGCACAGACATGGCCATGAAATTATTTGGATCAACTTACTGGTGTGAGTTGGACTTTCTTACTGCTAGAGTCAATGCAAAGGGAGCAATGACATTGTGGAGGAGGGGACCAAGGATGAAACCATCTCTTTTCGAACAGTATGGTCTTGGATCCACTTACACGCTGTGTGAAATTGTGCTCCACTTGTTCTGGGAGGACAAAGTAGTCTGCTATTCTGACTCATTGGCTTGTGGTAGAGGCCACAAAAAGTGAAATTAGTTAGGTTCAAGCCATCATATAGATATGTCTTGAAACAGAAGGACTTCACTGGAGATGGGGAAGCTGTGTTTTTGGGGTTCTTTTGTTGGTTTTTTGTTGGTTTTGTTTGGGGTTTTCTTGTTTGTGGGTTTTGTTGTTTTTTTTTTTAACTGAGAGAATGCCTAAGATGATGACAACTGGGAATCATTTATTCTGTTCATAAGCTCATACTTATGGCGAATTCCAAGAATCTCGCTGGACACTTCAAGGTTATAAATACACCAAGAATCCCTGGTTGGAAAAGGGATTGCTGGAGTTGGTACAAAGAATGTTAGTTACTTACTGGTTTACAGCTTAAGACCTAGGAGGAGCAAAGCTAAACTCCTAGTAGCAGCTTTAAGACAAAAAATAATTGTTTTTCATACGGTTCATAATTTAAACTGAATTATGCCATTAGATTTTATATTAATTCAAGAAAAAGCTAGCTTAATTGTTACAATAAAAATCCATTGGAAGTGAGTAAACGCTAATACAGCCCACAGGAAATGGCTAAGTTGGGTGAAGCCTGGAGTGCACACCCAGAGAAGCATCCTTGTGTGCCTGCCCTGTTTTGCATTCTTTTCTTCTGTACCTGCTACTGTCTGCTGACATAAACTGAGTGACGGACTTAGACTTCGTGCCTGATCCAAAGCAGCTACTCCGATGTTTTAGACAAACTATGAGTTAGTTTGCTATAAAGTAGGTATTCGTTACCAATGGCTTTCTGAGAAAAGTTCTTGGAAGCAATACACTCTTGATGCTCACCTCAAGAGGAATATCTGCTTTTTAGTTACTCCTCTGCTCTCAGAGTGAAAGACGTGTAAAACAATCTCAAATTACTAGTTAAATATTCAGGTAGCATTGGAAATATTCAATACAGGGTTGTTTTTATGAAAACACATTAAGACTTGTAGTCAGTATTAAACACATCTGTTTTCATTGTTAAAAAAAGTTGAAAATATTCTCAAAAGTCAAAAGAGTAACAATTGAATTTTCTGAGTGTCTGAAAGGCAACAGTAACTGTATTTTTCATTTATTTTACAGAATAAAGATCCCAAAATGTCCCGAGTTGCACTGGAATCTTTGTATAGGTTATTGTGGGTTTATGTTATTAGAATAAAATGTGAAAGCAACACTGTAACTCAAAGGTAAGTTCATTATGCAAAGGATTTCAAACTATTGATTGGTGGGGTTTTTTACCCCTAGTGATATCAGAAGAGATCTTAAAGCCAGCTCAGGGATGGTCTAGTCGGGTAAACAGGGGAACAAAGACTTCATCTTAATAGAGAAAACCAAAAGAACTTAATTACTTTGACGAGGAGAAAGAATAGAGTCTACAATTGTCTTTGCAGGGATATGCAGGGATAGAAGAGGGCAGAGTGATAAGAAGCAGGAAATTTATTAAAGTTAAAAGGCACTAATAGTACCAGAGCAAATAGGGTATGAAGTGGCCATCACTAAGTATGGGCTGGAAATGAAGAGATTTTCTTTAGGAATTAGCATCATAAGAATTTGGAAGAGTCATTCAGGTTTTGCCCCTCTTCCTGACTATTACTAACTAGTTTAAAGCAGATCTGGTCACTTTATAAATGAACCTGTGATACTGTTGCCTGTGACAGTAGAGGGCTGTACTTTGTTTAGGTGGTCCTACCTCCTGTCATATGTTTATGTATTATTTAGTAGCAATTCCCACACACTTTTCCAGATTTGAGCTGTAACATCTATGCTATTATAAAGAGTTGTTTTTTGAAGTTTTTTTTTTTCTTTTGGTTTCTGAATTCTTGTAGCCGTCTCATGAGCATCGTATCAGCACTTTTTCCAAAAGGATCACGTAGTGTGGTCCCACGAGACACACCTCTGAATATATTTGTGAAGATTATTCAGTTCATTGCTCAGGTAAGAATACGTCTAGGTAGAGCTATAAGAATAGGGTGAACATTATTTGGAAGAAATGTAAATTTAAGGTTAGTTTTTGAAATATTTGCACTGAATTAATGGTCTCATATCTTGAATAGAATTTCCCCAAATATGTATAACAAATGAAATGACTTACTCTGTTTCTACTAGTGGCAACATTATTTTACTTAAACTTCAATAATTCTTGTGTATAAACATTATGATGATTAATATTTACATTTGTATTGCACTGTTGTGGGGGTGTGTGTATATATATATTAAAAATACACTAATATAATTAGTATGTTCCATTATCATATTTTTATAAGGGACAAAGCATTTGAACAGTAATACCTGCTTATATTTAGCCTGGAGACTAGCCTCTGTAGACAGAAAAAATATGCAATGCATGCAGTAGTGTGTAGTTAGTATTGCATTATGATTTACATTATTTTATGTGCTTCTGTTGTCCTAATATCAAAATGCAGGATATGATCTCACAAGATAAACTTGATTCATCTACAACCTTATAGATTAGAGACATGTTTTCCTGTCTTACAGATAGCTTGTCTGTGCTTCAGCTTCCAAAATGTTTTGCTTCTGGTCATAGAAGGATGAGGCAGGACTCACAACCCTTCAGTGTTCATGTTTGTTTCCTAGGGCTCCTCTTTTTATCACGAATTTTTAGTTATCTAAAACAGTTCAGCTTATTTGTAGAAATGTGTTTGACCTGAGCAGAATTGTCTGGGAATTTTTTCAGGAGAAATGGTTCAACCATATCAGGGCATGAGCTGTGTTGAATTGTACTATATTTTAAAAAGAACATTAAGTCCTAAGAATAAATAGGAAAAAAGGAATATTTTAAAAACTTTTTTATTTTTATTTTTTTAAACTTTTAAGACATGATACCCAGGACCTGTGCAAAGCCAAGAAATTAAACTATGCATATTAACAGAAAAGAGATAATCATATCCATCTATTTTGCTTTATAGGAACGTTTGGATTTTGCAATGAAAGAAATAATATTTGATCTTCTTAGTGTTGGAAAATCACCTAAAACTTTCACTATTAATCCAGAGGTAAAAAAGCTCATTACTTGCATGCAGCAAGAACAAGGTATTGGGGGATTTTTTGGGGGAAAGTGGTTAACTATTTTTGAGCCGGGATGAAAGCAGATTAGTGAATATCTGAAGAGGTGTTCTGCTAAAACTAAAGAAATAATTGTAGTCGTGCACAATTGCTGCTTCATTTCCAGTGAGTAAGCTAGCAGCAGTACTACAGTTCAGACTCATTTCAACAATAATTTCAGTAAGTGAATTTTTGTTACAGTATAGCTGTAAAGCCTTTTTTCAGGGAAGTCGTACCTTGCTCATATGGTTCAAGACCCAGTCTAACAGATGAGACTTTAAGCAATGTCTGTCCTCAGTATGTCATTCTCGAGATTCATACTAAGTCCTTTAGTGCTCTGTACTAAAAAATATTCGGTATATTAGCCCATGCAAAGTCAGTTAACTGGAATCAGAGTTGTGGGGAGCCATTGAAGGCTTAAACTTTATTCTTGTTACTTTCATTACCCTAATATGTAATATTTAAATAGTGCCTGTCCTACTGGAACCATACTGCTGTCTGCTTAAAAGAGAGGAAAAATGCAATTTGTGTTTTGCCTCATCTGTGTTACTTTAATGTTATAATTTCTTTTGTTTTCTCTTTCCTTTTTCTTCCCTTTTTTGCTGTTGAAGAGGATGAATATCGGCCTCAGAGTCTTCCTTGTCATAGCAGATAGCTTGCAGCAGAAAGATGGTGAACCACCAATGCCAACAACAGGAGTTGTTCTTCCCTCAGGAAATACTCTGCGTGTGAAGAAAATTTTTCTTAATAAAACGCTGACAGATGAGGAAGCAAAAGTTATAGGTATGTTGTATTCTTTTGTAAGTTGGTATTCCAATATGTGCCTATATGTTCTCAATTATTCTCAAGCAGTACATTTGTGTAACTTTATTTCTGTATTTATTTTAATTGTTAGTGAGAATCTAATGATAGTCTGTTTTAACAGAATTGCTTTGATTCTTTAGGGAGGACTGCTAGACAATATTGACCTTCTGGTGTCTGAGACCAAATCCATGGCTTTTTTTGAAATGTTTTGTGCTGCCAAATTAGCACAAAGAAGCCTGAGTGCAATTAATGTGGTAAATAGCATGGCAATTTTTGTTCCCTTGATGTCAGTCTAGAATGTCCCAAATGTCCCACAGCTGAAGTGGAGTAAGACAATTTTGATCCCTGTGCTCTGTTGATCTTCTGTGGATGAGGTAGTCGTCTCTAAAGGACTGTTTCAACATGCAAAATTTGAACTAGAAACTAAAATGCTCGGAATTGAGAAAACAGAAAAGCAACTATTGTTTGCTTCCTTGTTTATGTTCTTTCTGAAAGAAACTTCTACTTTCATATAGAACCTCCTACTACTCATTTAACATGCATTTCTTTTGACACGTAAAGTGTGTGTTTCATGTCATCTTTTGTAAAAGAAGAAATTTGTCCTAAGGTGAATAAGTGGCAAATATTTAAAAAAAAAAGTGTGAAGATTAAATGAGAACAAATGAAAGACGTGATTTGAACTCTTTGGCTTTTCAGGAATGTCCGTATACTACCCTCAAGTCAGAAAAGCCCTAGATAGCATTCTTAGGCATTTGGACAAAGAAGTTGGAAGGCCCATGTGCATGACTAGCGTGCAGATGTCCAATAAAGAACCTGAAGACATGATTACGTATGTACTGAATTACAATATTTTCACTGTCACAGTTATGTCATATTATTTTTATGCTGTAATGTTGCAGATGCGATCATTAATGCATTACAGTTGTTGGCTTTTTACTTGACAATTAAATGAGTGCTAATTTCATTAATTAATGATAGAAATTTTTGTTAGCTCCTTAGTTTTGACATGAAATTGAAAATATTTGTGGTGTACTGAAGTAGATTTTCCTGTTGTTTGTTGGTTATAAACTGGTTTTGTAGGGGTGAGAGAAAACCTAAGATAGATTTGTTCAGAACTTGTATTGCTGCTATCCCAAGACTGATTCCAGATGGCATGAGCAGGACTGACCTCATTGAATTGCTTGCAAGGTAAGGGAAATGAAACTCTGCTCTTAAGGGATGTTCCTTTTTAAATACTGTATGTATAAGAGTTTGTCAGTGCACTATGTAGTGCGAGTCCACTGCATACAGAATCCGTTCTTCATATTCCTGCCTACCTTCCGCAATTGGTCAAGTGTTACTGGCCAGAGTAGCAGGAGGTAAATTTATCCTGAAGATGTTGCACTTATTTTTTGAGAGAATTTTTTAAAAAGTAGGAATTTTTCTGTTGCTTTGGTTTTTGAACTTGTTTTATCTTTTTGTTACTATCATACTATTTTTTCCCTTTTTTCTTTTTCTTTTTTTTTTTTTCTTCTCCCTTCCTATTGCTAGTACTGTAAATTATCAAACGATTCTTGTTTGACATTACCAAAATGTGAGACAGGCACTTACAGGAATTTTTTTTTCTTGTTGTCTACTAATCCTGCTTCCTTTTTCCATTTTTTTGATCCGACACTACCCATAATTCTTCCATCTCTTACCTCAATTTAAATCAAATGTGCCTTATCAGTACTGATAAGTAGTTGAGACAACTGGACAGCTAGGTGTTTGCAGGTGGGTAAACTGGTATTCAGAGAATATGTAGTTGTGGTACATGCAGACAGTCTTTACTTATTACTAGAGTGATAAACCTTCTTCTTTTTAATTTTTTTATTTTTAATACAATAATGGTCTTGGTGCAGAAATATAAGATAGCTTTTAGCTTTGAAATTATAAATTCATTTGCATATAATGTGTTAAGTTACATATATAAAAAAGTTTGTAATAATGTGAGAGAATAAGATTTTTCTAACACTTTTTCTTCAGTGTCAAAAATCACATAAAAGACATGAAGTATTAAGTAATAATACAGTACTGGATAAGTTTCTTCTACCATAGTGGGCTGAGACATATTTCCAAAGTAAAGCTGCTTTATTTGCAAAACCAATCTACTCTTTTCAAATTTTAATTTTAAGAAAACAACCTGTACATCACAGGGTGGCTGCCTACTGAGCTCTAAGGTGGTTGCTCAAATGCATGCAAAGATGTGCCTATATGAAATATTTGACTATCTGTCTTGAAAATTGTTTGTTTATACTAAGTTTTGTGAAGTCTTGCATTATTTTGCTGTAGTAGTAGCACCTTCTGTTAGTAGCCAGTTTCAGATGTATTCAGTGCAGAAAATGCATCTGTGTGGAAGTATTTTACATTGTACAGTAAAGAAGGAAGAGTTGACTCCAAACTTTAATTTATGAAGGCTGGTTAAGAGTATGCCAATATAGGGTGATGATACTGGTATTTTTTTCTAAACAGGCTGACAATTCATATGGATGAAGAACTTCGTGCCTTGGCTTTCAATACTCTCCAAGCATTAATGCTTGATTTTCCAGATTGGCGGGAAGATGTTCTTTCAGGATTTGTATATTTTATTGTGCGTGAAGTGACTGATATCCACCCAACGCTTCTTGACAATGCAGTAAAAATGTTGGTGCAGCTCATAAATCAGTGGAAACAAGCAGCCCAAATGCACAATAAAACCCAAGATTCTCAGGTATTTCTAAATAAGGTCCTTTGGTGTTAAAACTTGGTTTGAATCTACATACAATTTTATTAGTAGACTTTATTGGTTTTGTTAAGTAATAAAAATTCAGCTTACTTTCTTACAGTGCTTGAAGATTTTTAGACGTATTATTTTAAATCAGCATTTTTGCCAAAAAATTACTTTAATATTATTAAGTATTCCCTAAACACTAATTCATGGTCACATTTTTGCTCATCATCATGTGAACTGGAAATGATATATTTCTTAATTAATATTACTTAATATAAGTAGAAGTGGATAAACAGTAGAACTAGAAAAAGAGCACCATCTTTTACAAGCAAACAGAAAGGGTTAAAATAATTTAATTTTATACAATCCTATATGTAAGAGTATTACTTACTTATTTTTAATTTTGCCCACTGCATCATTCTCGTGAGAAAGTGAAAGAAGAAAGACTTTCTTGTGATGTTTGTTTGGACTGTGTTCAGAGAGATACTAAAAAGATAAAGTAGCTGGTGTTATACCATTCTCATAATGCAAAATTTGACTAGTAGCCAAACAAGATCTAAATACCTTATGATTAATTCTGCCGTCGCCAATAATGGAACTATAGCTTGGTTGTGTTTACTTTTTTCTTAATTTGCTTAATTTCTGTGATCTTTTTCTTAGCGTGGTGTATCCAATGGGGCTGCCCATACTCTTCCTCTGGAGAGGACCCTTTATTCCAGTGTATTTCACGTGGTGGAAGGCTTTGCTTTGGTCATCCTTTGCAGCACAAGGCCTGCCACCAGGAGGTTAGCTGTCAGCGTTCTCAGAGAAATAAGAGCCTTGTTCACACTTTTAGAAATTTCTAAGGTAAGAGTCGATGACCCATTCTTGTGACTGCCTGTCGTGGTTTAACCCCACGCAGCCGCTCACTCAGCCCCCCTCCGATGGGATGGGGGAGAGAATCGGGAGGGCACAAGTAGGAAAACTCCCGGGTTGAGATAAAACAGTTTAATAATTGAAATAAAACAAAATAGAACAGTAATAGTAACAGTGAGGACAACAACAATAACGAAATATACAAAGCAGGCGATGCACAATGCAACTGCTCACCGACCACCGACCGCGTGTCACAAACGGGGGGGCGGCCCCCCCCCCCCCCGGTTTTTATACTGAGCATGATGTCACATGGTATAGAATACCCCATTGGCCAGCTGGGTCCACCACCCCAGCTGTGCTCCCCCCGCCCCATGCGAGCATCACCCAGCAACAGCCAAAGCATCAATGGGCCATCAACGCTCCTTTCATACCAAACCCAAAACACAGCACACCTGCCAAGCTACTGGGAAGAAAGTTAACTCTGTCCCAGCCGGAACCAGGACACTGCCTAATAAAACTGCTTTTCTCTTGACTTTCTTTGAGCTTTTTATGCTTTGCATTTTGTCTTGTGTAGAGTGATGATGAGTTGGCTATAGATGTAATGGACAGACTAAGTGCTACTATCCTGGAGAGTTTCATACATCTCACTGGGGCTGACCAGGTAGGAGAGTTATTAAGTTGGATATAAGATGAGGTAATTCTGCAAAACTGTCCCAAATAAATTGTATATATTTTACTGATAGTGTCACTATGTTCATGCTAACTTTATCAACAATTTATCACCTTAAAAAAACAAAGAAACAAGCAAACCCTAACAAACAAACAAAAAACCTCAAAAAACTTGAGAAATGTTGTGAGGCTGACACCACCATTGTACACTTTCTGATCAATAGTGTGTTGTTATGGCCACCGTATACACACAGACAGCTATATCTGTATCTGTTTTTTCTCATCTTGCTCCTAGATTACGGTTTATTTGAAGCAGAGAGCACTGCCTTTTTCTGCAGCGATAGAGTGTCTAACAGTCAATGTGTCCTTTATCCATGATGAAAGCTATAATAACTATCAATGAATAACAACTGAATTCCATATTTATATATTTATCATTAACTCTTAATCAAGGAGAAGCTCTTCTGATTTTAGGTTTAGGAAACAAGTTGGAATTCAGTAGTAAGGCTTTCAGAGTCTGGAATCTTTTGGAAGAATTAAGTCATCATGACTGAAAGGGCCTTTCTGTAGAATTTACTATTTCCTAATACCCAGTTCCTTCCCAAACAGCATGTTTATATAACTGTCTACATTAGGAACCTCTGTAAAACAAACCATAAATTAATGAATGTGTTCTATCTATTCCAAATGTGGTTTTGACACTGATATTTTATTAGATATTTAACAATTAAGAGATTGTTATTTAATATACATAGATATTAAATATTGCCTTGTTCTCTTTTTTGTGCACACAGACTACTTTACTGTACTGTCCTAGTTCAATAGATTTACAAACTCTGGCTGACTGGAATTCCTCCCCAATCAGCCATCAGTTTGATGTGGTCAGTCCATCACATATATGGATATTTGCACATGTGACTCAAGGCCAAGATCCATGGATTATAAGCCTCTCAAGTTTTATGAAACAGGAAAATCTTCCAAAACACTGCCCAACAGCTGTAAGCTATGCTTGGACGTTTGCTTATACCAGACTCCAACTGCTGTCTCCACAAGTGGATATAAAGTAAGTTAATTTCCAAAGTAAATACAATATATTATATTGAGTATTCTTTCAAGATTTATCAGCATTGTAATGTCATTATGTTTCAGTGAGGTGACATATGCACTGTTAATATTTTCTGTGGGTTTAATTCAGCTTTATATAACAAAAAATTAAAGCAGTTCTGTCTGGAAAAAAGTTATCTGCTGTAAAGATTAATTAATTCATGCCTTCGGCCATCTCGTAATTCAACAGATTTGACTATTGATTATTGATTCTGAATAATTTCTTCAGAGTTTACCATCTTAATAATTTTGGAAGCAATGGCATATACATAATTGGAAAATAAATTCAGTAGAAAAACAAAGGGAAACCTGGTAAGCTTTGTTTACTATACTGTGTTTTGTTTTGTTTTTTTAATAGCAGCCCTATCAATGCAAAGAAAGTGAATACTACTACAAGCAGTGACTCCTATATTGGGCTCTGGAGAAACTACCTGATTCTTTGCTGCAGTGCAGCATCTTCTTCAAACTCCTCCACCTCCACAGGCTCTGTGAGATGTTCCCCTCCTGAGACGCTGGCGTCTACTCCTGACAGTGGTTATAGCATTGATTCAAGAGTAGGTTCTTCTTCTGTTGCTTACTGTAAATAAGTCTACATGTTACTGGAAGTAGAAACACCTGAGGCTTATAATAACTATCATGATTCTTAGAAACTTGTATAGTTTGTCTGAAAACATGTTTTAGTATACATTTGTGTTTCATTTGTTTAGGATAGTTTTTCTGTTTGCTTCTCCCAATCTGCAATAGAGGTTTTTCTGCTTATGTTTTTTAACACAAAATCTAATCATGTCATGAAAACATTAACCCAATCTCAAAGTCCTATCTAGTGGTAATGACGAAATGTTTTCTTTACCATTAAGGGGTTTTTTTGCTGTCAGTAGACTTCTGCAATTCTGAGCAAATAGCCTGTCACTTCAGTGACTTGAGTCAATGACCTATTCAGGCATGATGTATCTTGTTACATTTTTCCCAACCACAGACAGTTTTCTGTCTGCCTTACTTCACATCACCTGCAGAGATTTTTGTTTGTTTGTTTCTTCTTTGCTTCTTTTTGTTTTTCTCCTTCTTGCCTTCCTGTAGAAGGTGTGGTAGAGGTGAAAATAACTCATGGACTATGCAGCAGATTTTTGGCAGAAGCAGCCTATTCCACTTGTTTGTTACCAAGATCCTTTCCCTAAATCTGAGAAACTGTAGACTGAAAGCTTTGTTCTCTTTCAGAGCCGCAATGGAGACTTAAGGAGTAGGACACCAGAAGTCTGCTTCCTCTCCCTAAGGAGGGCAGATACACTAAACATGCAAAGCATCTATTTATTGTGTTGAGCCATTCATTGTCACTTGACAATGAAAATTCAATTATACAAGGAATGGAGAAGTACTTAATACTACTTTACTATTTCAGAAAGTCTTTTTCTGTGTCAAAGATCAAAAATTTCGTTTTTATCATTTTAAGTCTCTGACCAGCGTGAGAAAACTGTAAAATTACAGCAGATGTTTTAAAATCACACCATGTGATTGTTTGGTAACTACTTCATTCTGTTTTATCCTGGCTTTCTTCTTAGATCATTGGCATTCCATCCCCTTCCTCCCTGTTTAAGCACATAGTTCCAATGATGCGCTCTGAGAGCATGGAAATTACAGAATCCCTTGTTCTGGGACTTGGCAGGACCAACCCAGGAGCTTTTAGGTAACTTTTTTGTTTCATCTGTTTTTATGGTAATTGATTACAAAGCTGGGGAATCAGAACTCAAAAGAAAAGGTTTGCTTTTTTTTCTTTTAAGAATTTTCAAAAAGCTGTGAAAACTGATTACCATTGTCTCTTCTAGCATTTAGTGGTGTGATAAAGATTATTAAAAGTTGAAATAATTTTATGTACAGGTCACGTCTGCATAAAGAAAAAGAAGTTAGTTGAAACAATAAACAGCTGCCTTTTATTGCTATTAAAGGCTGCCCTTATATGAAAGAACAGACTGTGTGGACTATTAACATTTGAAATGTTAATTATACTTACGTTTGTCAGAGTTACTAAACTCTCCTATTGGTATTGCCAACAAACATGTTTCTGAGCTCTTTTTGTGTAGGAGATTCATGATAACTGGATTCTAAAAAGAGATTTTTGGTTCGAGCTGAAAAAAATACCATTTACAACTGTTTTCTGACTAGTGCTGAAGCTCTTGTGGCGTATCCCTCTTCCGCCCCTTTTCTTTTTTTTCTGAGTAAACTTCCTGTAACTTCATAACTAATACACCTTTCTCATACGTTGTACCGATGACAAGTCCATGTGGATTAGTTTGGGTGCTGGTAACTGTGATCTACTGTAGCAGAATTAAATCTGTGCCAAGTCACTTGTTCTGTCAATTTAATTTCATACATCATGTTCAATATATTTGGATTCAGCTCATAATCCAAAACTTTTGGTTACCCTATTGTGACAAGTCTTTATATAAATGTCAAATTCAAAATGGTCTATCTAGCCATAATGGCATTCCTACCTCAACTGAAATTTACTTTTCTTCAAATCCTAATGTACTGTGCTGTCAATGTGTAGTACAAATCCACTAAGGTGAAAAGGCAGCTCAGGAAGCCAGGAGTTTTAAAATGCATCTCTATGCCACTGTCCTCAACTGACAACTCTCTCTTTATGAAGGATAGATGAAGAGGGAGAACATCTGAGGGGAAGAAAACTTCCTGGGGAGGCCAGTGCTCAGCATCAGATGTTCTCTGGCAGCAGCCAACCTCTTATAATGGAGAGTTTACGATGTTGTACCATGCTATAACAACCATAACTCTGCTTCTGCAGAAAAAAACAGGGATTGCCAACACTCTTGGTTTTGAATGAGATCCTTCTTCTCTCCAATCACTTGTGTCCCATATTATGGTAAATGAGGAGCCAAAGATGTATTTGAAACCGTAATGCTAAGTCCTCAGTTACAGTATTCTGTTTTACTCCTTTGATAATCTAATTGTATATCATATCTGACTTTACACTCCTACCAAGAGTAAAGTAAGACTTTGTCCCGTGACCCTGAAGATCTACTGAACAGTTTAAATCATAATTGTGTTCTACAAGTCTAGAAAATGCTTTCAGAAAGGATATCATCAGAAATCCTTGTTTTCTAAATTAGAAACAATTCATTCAGCAAACTTAAAAAAAAAAAATCTGATTCTCATCAGTCTTCTACTTTCTTTGTTCTGAGTTATATGTTTTGTTTCTGATGACTAGCTTTTTTCCTCTGTCCAATGTGCGTACTCACACCAGTTGCTAACTGTAGCCCATCCTTCACCATTGCAGCTCTCCACTGATTTGTTGTTTTGGTTTTGTCTTTTTAAGCACTGTTCCTCCACACTCGGAATGTTTTACTCGGGAACTTTTTTCATTATAGATTATATGTATATGCAGTCCACTTAAACTTGCTAGAGTATTCTTTTTCTCTTCTGTTTTCTCTTACTGATCACATTAACTTGTCTAGGTGTCTCTTGCTTTCCATTGAAAGATGACCCTTTACTGTATTTTAGCACAAAAAAAGCTTCTTCCAAATTCTTTTTTGTGTTTTCTATGTTGGAAAGAAAGTATAAAACAATCCCTGACCATGCTTAGGTCTCTTGTAATTGAGTGCACCGCAAAAGTTTGTGCAGCTTTCTGATCACCTGGACCCATTCTCTGAAGGAGGACCTTTGAGTGATGTAGCAGAGTCGTTAGTCAGTTACCATGAAAACTTGAAGTGGTTTATGCTTTTGGTATGTCTGAATTATAGCACAGGAAATAGAAAAATGTGTCACGCTCTAACAGTGGAGGTGGTAGTCACTATGTTAACAAATATTAAAGTAAAACCAATATGTTTTTACCTTAGTATTTTGTCTGCGTAGATCCATACTACTGATCTCCTTCCCCTTTCTCTGCCCCCTTTTTGGAGTCATAAGAGAGTCTCAGTTTGGCAGAAGGAACTGAGTAGTAATAAAGACTGTGGAGTTTCAAAACAAATAGGGAATGTTAATCATAGCATCAAACGTGTTGCTTTTCAGTTTTCATAGAGACTAGTCTGACTTCTGTCAGCATAGCGATATTGGGCTTAAAGAAACAATCTTTATTAATAACTAAATGCATCATGACAACTGAAAGCATTGTATGATAAGCTGCCAACATCTTTTTTTTTTTTCCTAGTGGTATCTATTTGCACCATAAGGCTTTGTTAAACCCTGAATATGAAAATAAATGAAAATCATCTGTGACAGAAATACGCCATAATACTTGGTGAATGCAAATTTAGTGGTAATTATTGAGATATCTGTTTGGTAGTCTGTCTTTAAATTAGGAAAATATCTTTCTAGGAAACATTTTAAATGCTGATTTATTTCAGAAAGCTACAGGTAAAGAAGGAGAACATGAAAGTGTTTTAAGTTATATTGTAACAGTAGTTGCTCTGAAACATCTTTCAGTTGAGATTTTAATTTAATGGTTGTTTTTATCCTTTGAATTCTTTTATTTTAATTCAGGGAACTAATAGAAGAATTACATCCTATAATTAAGGAAGCACTTGAAAGAAGGCCAGAGGTAATTAGATGTGTTCCACTATATTCAGTACACAGTTTTAACTATCTTCTCACAAATGGGAGTAAAGAAATGTTAGTTATGTTCTTTAATTTCTGCTCCTAAAAACTGTCAGTATACCAGATAAAAAGGTGAGATGTTACTTTTTTAAATGATTGTGAGGTGTTTACATTAGAAGAGCTTGGTGCTCATTTTTGAGGTCTGTATTATTCCTGTATCAAGGAGGATTTGTTTCAAATGATGAAAAAATTACTGTAACCTTTTCCACATTCTTTTAATTCCTTTTACCTAAGCATAGTTTTACACAGTTGTTAGTTCGTTGTGTCATCAGTAACGTGCCCACAATTAATAGTACCTAAGACATAGAATTGAGTTCTACTGTCTACCAACTTTGGTTTGTTTTTTTTTAAATGAAAAAGGCTGTAAGCTCACCTGGCTGACTGCTATGACTGAAAGTTTTCTGATGGAGAGCATGTTTTACAGCAGGGTTTAGAAGCCTCAGTAGGTATTCATAGAAATAATAATCTCATTGCAAACACAAACTCAGAGATGATTACTCAGTATTTTTTGTGGTAACTGTCATATTCTTATTGGTAACAAATTTGTAATTAAGTACAGATGATGGAAAGGAACATCACTTCTGTTTCAAAATGTTACTGGGCTATAGCATGTTTTGTCAGTCTTGCATGCAAATATGTAGAAAGATTGGCATTTGTACTTCAGTTCATCATTTTATATGTTGCACTTCGTGACAGGAGACTGATAAAAACCGTATTATTTTGATAATAAGTGTAATAGCAAACCTAGTATATCTCTGAGTAGCAATAGGGAAAAATTTTGTTCATTGTCTAGTTTATTAAAATTGCTAGCAATTTTGGTAACTCATCTTAAAAGGTTAGCACCTCTGATAATTGATGCCAGTTGTAGTACAAATATAATAATGCTTTTATATGCCACGCTGGTTTTATACTTAGTTTTTCTTCTGCTTCATTTGATTTTGTATTTCCTCTGTTGAATAGAACATGAAACGGCGCAGGCGTCGAGATATTTTACGAGTACAACTAGTACGAATATTTGAACTGTTGGCAGATGCTGGTGTCATTAGTCACAGGTAGGGGCAGCACTGATGAGATGTTGTTGTTTATGCTTCTGAATTAAGTCATTAGTATTCTCATGACCCAGTATAACAAGCATGCAAAATTCTTCAGTGAGTTTTAGTATACCATTAAATAAACAGACATGGTTTTATAAAACTTGGAATTTTGCTGACTTTCTAATCCCTCCCTCCCCCATGCTTTTTGTCACAGTGGTCTGTGTTTTATTTAAAATGCTACTATTCCCTGGGACATTGCTTTGAACAGTCATTGTGTCATGTTCCTTTTTGTTTGTCTGTGTTCAAACGTCACACCAGTTATGCGAATCAGAAAATGCAAGTTACAACTGTTGTATAATCAGTCTGGAATTTTCTCACCTGGAGTCCTGATGCTAGTCAGCGTGTCCTATGCAGAGAAGGCTTCTGCTCATTAATATTGGACCCTTTTTTTCTGAGGGAGGCAGAATGTTAACTGGGTTGGTTTTTTTTCTCAGTTTAGCCTACTTGTGTAGGGACATTTTGAAAGAAGACAAAATTCTGGCATATGTTTTTCAAGTTTCTTACAAATTGTTTTCTATGCAGGTGGAATTGTATAGAAGCAAGCAGGCTAGGAGGTGGTTAGGCTAGCTCCTCCCATTCTGGTATACAATGATACTTAAATATTTGTTTGTCAACTGTAGTAATGTAATCAGTGTGAATTTCTCTATCTTTAAACAAGCTATTACAGTATATTTCAGAACATTGCCTCAGAAGCATTGCTAAAATACCTTTTTTCCTTTTGGCATGCTGATTTTTCAGAGTGCAGCTGTTAGAATCGTACTCTCCCTTCTTATCTTTTAAGGTACTCACTGCTGGTTAATTAGCTTATGTAAAATATGTCCTAACCACAGCCTGCACCCTGAAACTTTGTCAGCTTTTGTCTCTGAGGCCAGTCTGACTCTGTGGTGGAAGCTAGCAAGCAATTAAGGGCTACCATAAACCTCCTCATCTTGCCTTTGGTGTGCAAGGCATGCTTTTTAGTTGTCTTCAGTACAAATGTGGAAGGATGGTGGAGGGAGCTGAGAGGAAAGGAATCACCCTTCTAACAACTGTTTTTCAAAGGAGGGCAGGTTTGAATCACATGCACTCATTAATCTCCTTATTTAGTTTAGTACCGACGTCTAGTCAGATGCTAAAGCAATGAAGATGAGAAATGAATATATAAAATGAATAAATTGCTTTCATCTGCTAACAGTCAATGGCATGTCATGAAGTACTGAACATCTTAACTGACTCCCAAAAATCAGTATGCAATATAGATATCTATAGTCGAGCAGTAGTAATTTTTTTTCTGGTTTACAAATTGTGTGGGTTGGGGGAGGCGGGGGTTGGTTATTTGGGTTTTTTTATTATTATTTTTAACACTTGTCCCCAGTATAAGAACTCATTCTGTGGAAAGATGAGTGACTTCTGATAGTGAGGCTTGATTATTAGTTTGCTTTCAGTGGAGCTTTTAATTTAACACTGAAATAGAAGCTGGGTGAAGAAATTACTTTAAATAAAATATTTGCAGTGATGATGTTGTAGGTTTTTTTAAGAGAAAAAACAATAATTGTATGTATTTATCATACTATTTGATTTTTTATCTTTAAGTGCAAGTGGTGGCCTTGATAATGAAACGCATTCCCTCAACAACACTTTACTTGAGTATGTCGATCTAACGAGACAACTCCTAGAAGCAGAAAATGAAAAGGATTCTGATACATTGAAAGATATCCGATGCCATTTTAGTGCCTTAGTGGCAAACATAATTCAAAATGTTCCAGGTATGTAAAAATGCTGTAATAATTTTCTTTAGTATGCAGTACATTTAAAAAAACAAAACAAAACAACAAAACCCAACAAAAACTAAACAAACACAAATCCACTTTTTCTCTGAAGTTTCAAAATACTTTCATAAAAATAATTTATGCCATCAGTTTTGTATATAACTTTAGCAGCATGAGTTTTTAAGAGGGATTTTTGGTACTGTTTGGAAGCATACATGTAACTTTCTTATTTAGCAAAAGTCTTGTTGGTTGGCAGTGCATTTAAATTTTCTAGACTAATAAATAGCTTATTCTTGTATGCTAGTGGCATTAAACAGGACCATAGTAAGCCTACATCCAGCTATTATGATAGCTATTATGATGTTGAAATACTGTGTCTTTACATTGATTTGGTTTTTTTCCTTTTATATTCATTGTTTGGGTCTGTTTCTGTTTTACATACTTGGTTTTAAAGAATAACAAGAATGTGTCTAACTGTGTGCTTTTCTTAACAGTACACCAGAGAAGAAGTGTCTTTCCACAGCAGAGTCTACGCCACAGTCTGTTTATGTTGTTCAGTCACTGGGCAGGTCCTTTTAGTATCATGTTTACTCCCCTGGACAGATACAGTGATAGGAACATGCGAATAAACAGACACCAATACTGTGCATTAAAGGTATTTTAGCACTTTTTGAATTTTGGAAGTAGATTGTTATGTTGACATTTCTAATGCAAATTTAACATTTGGGCTTTTTGGATGTGGTTTTCACATTCTTGTTGCCATTCATGACTTAGTTCTTTTTCTCTTCTGCCTACATGTAAATTTATAACAGTTCGGCTTTTTCCATGCTGTAAACTATTGCACTTGCTATAGGAATTTCTTAAAATTACTACTAAATGTTCACTTCCCATGACTTTAGTCTTCAGTTGTCTAAGGAGAAAGGCTTCCATGTAAAAGTACATTAACAATCAAACTGGCATATTAACTCTTACATATGTCAGCATTTCAATATTGACAGTTCCTTGTATTTGGGAGAGAAAATATGATTTGATAATTTCTTGAATAAGATGTTAAAGAGTTTTTTATTAGCCTTGGTCTTCCTCCCTTGACTGAATAGAAGTTAGTTTTCTGGTATTTTAATGGACTTCGTAAAAGCTCTTCCTGTATCTGAGTTATTAAAATGTAGTGTTTTTCAATTACTTTCTAAAGGCTATGTCTGCTGTACTGTGTTGTGGCCCTGTTGCAGATAACGTCGGGCTCTCATCTGATGGCTATTTATACAAATGGCTGGATAATATTTTGGATTCACAAGATAAAAAGGTAACACAGGCAATGCCAACATTGGTTTGCAACAATCAGTGCCTTCAATGTAGACTTCAATGAGTTTTGAGGTCAGATTGGCCTAAATGCTTTAGAGTGGCTTAATCTCAAAGCTGTATCAGTAGTGCAGTGTCCTTAATATGTGTATTCACCCTGTTGAGGAAGGCAGTCCCTGATCACAGTCTAAGAACAGACAAAACAGAATAGAAGAGGAAAGGGCAAGGAGTGAAACATTGTGTATCGTTTATAAACTAATCAGCTAGGTTAAGTTGTGGTAATAAGCAGATCTTTTAGAAATTTAAAGGAGATGAGATTCTGAACATGAACTATTGTGAGACTGTAGAGTCCGTTTTGGGTCCTGCGGAGTTACAAAGACCAAGCTTTACATCTAAACAGTAAGGCAAGCTTTGGATTTAAAAGATACGGCCTCCATTGCACTAATACTATGACTACATAAAAATACAGCTCCAGTGGGCTACTTTGGTTCAAGAGAACATGTAAGTCTCTGTGTAGGTCTATCCCTTGGAATTCTATTCCCATTATAATTCCTGCATATGTTTAAGTGCTTTTCTGTATGTGATGCTTTCAGGTCAGTGTTCAGATTGTAGTAAAGTAAAAATGGTAAATAGCTCAAGATAGCCTTGGAACTGAGGGGAAAAAAAAAAGTCAGCAGAGCTATCTAGTTATTTGCTTCAATAATTTATGACTGTGTGCAAGTTGAACATTAAACAGTTTGATAGAATTACCTGTTGTTATTTTAAGCTGTGGTCTCATTGTTTTTAGATGGAACAAATTTTGTGTATTGCAGTCTTTTTTTTTTTTAATTAAATATCTATTTCCCTATTTTATGCCATTTTTGTAAGTTGGTCTTTTTTTCTATATTTATAAATAGATATTGGTTCTTTTCTGGAATACAGGTTCACCAGCTAGGCTGTGAGGCAGTCATGCTGCTCTTGGAACTCAACCCTGACCAGAGTAACCTCATGTACTGGGCCGTAGACCGGTGTTACACAGGTTCTAAGCGGGTAGCAGCCGGCTGTTTTAAGGCCATAGCCAGCGTGTTCCAAAACAGGTACTACAGCGTTTTTCAAAACTTTAAACTTTCATTTTCAAAGTGTGCTTTCATGTAGAACTGGGTTTTTTCCTTCCCCCAAGAGAAAAGATCACCCCTGTTTGTGTGTCTATGTTACTAGAGAAACTTTTCAAAATGTTATGTTATCCCATACCATACCCCCTGTAAATTAAACTTTAATAAATTCAAATTTTAAAAAGTCAAATGTAATTTTACTTATTTCACACTTGCAAATTTTCCCTAGGGATTACCAGTGTGATACAGTGACCCTCCTGAATCTGATACTATTTAAAGCAGCTGATTCTACTAGGGCTATCTATGAAGTTGCTATGCAACTATTACAGGTTTGTAAGCTAATTTTGATTTTTTTTTTTTTTTTCTTTTAAAGTAAGAATTGTCCCTGTGCATTTAAAAAAACCCTGTTGTTATTTGGTTGTCCCTTCAGTAATTAAATACAATGTATGTATTTTTTTTCTTCTCTGTTTTAGTGCATAGTTAGTCCACGTCCTTACTTGGCACAAATAGACTTCAGTGGAAGTGTGTCTGTTTTCATGAACTAAGCATTCAAGACTTGTATTTTCATAATATCTGCTTTTTCAAGAGACAAAACCTAAATGCAGATTCTTCTGGTTTGGCCCTGAAACAAAGTTGTATATAGCTCCATCTGTCCAAAAGCACCTCAGAGAGAAGTATAGTGCTTCCTGTCCCTTTACTCTGTCTGCTGGGGTAGCAGTCAGTTTTCTGGTTTTTGCATTAATACCAAACATTTTTTCATCCATTTGTGTGGAGAGATGATAGTGAAAATCTTGTTAGCCATTCAGTTTACTTCTGTATATTCCTTTCCGAGGTCATTTAGGAGTAAGCTTAATTTTACAGGCAGCATTAGTGTTTAAAAATAAATAAATAAATCTGTGCTGCTTGTGGCTCAGACCACAAGTCTTGGAGGTTTTTTCAAAGGTTTTTGTTGTCAGCTAAATTCAACAGTAAAGTCCCTACTGAAGTCACACCCCTGTTGGTATGTCAGCGCTCACACCACCCTCCCTTTCAGCCCCATCTTTCTTCTCAAGTGAACACCACTGCTTAAGATCAGCCAAAACTGACTTTTAAAGTATCGAACTGCTTTAGCCTCCTGCTGCATCTCTGCCACATCAAAGATTACATTGCTTCTATCCATGTCTCATAGATGAGCAGAAATTGATATTATTTGGAAATACAAGTGTTCAATATTATTTCATATTTTGTTATAGAGAAATTTATATTTAGTGCGGTATTTTGTGAAAGCAGATTTCTGAAATTTATTGCTGGAAACTCATGAAGTGGAGTGAGTCTTAACTAGTCTTCTATGAAATCACCACAGTGTTGGTGAATACTGTAGATGTATGGAGATCTGCATAGATAGGAAACATTAAATGAGAGTAGATACATGAATTTAGAAGGTAATTTTTATATAAAGATTTCCATTGTAGCTCTATACTTAGCTTCAAATTCTGAACATTACTGTTGCAGATCTTGGAACCAAAGATGTTCCGTTATGCTCACAAACTGGAAGTTCAGCGGACGGATGGCGTTTTGGGTCAGCCTTCTCCTTTACCACATCTGTATTCTGTGTCATATTATCAACTGTCAGAAGAATTAGCAAGGACTTATCCTGAACTAACACTTGCCATCTTCTCAGGTATGGTTTTAAAACAAAACAAAAAACTTCATCAGGTCAAAAGCGTTGTATAAAATGTGTAATTCTTACTTTTCAATAATTAATTTATATTTAATTCACTAAAATCAGGACAACAAGATATCATCATAATGAATGGAGAAAATGGAATTTACTGAGTGACAATTTTTGTTTACTTGTATTTGAAATATATTCAGGAGGAAACAACATGAATCAAAGATACTTTTACTGACTTTCTAATAACCATGAAAAATCACGTTAGAGAAATAATTTGCAACTGTTTTTAAAATTATTCTTCTATTGTTCTTTCTAGTGTTTTCTTATTTACTGTAGATTGCTTGAGAATATTATTCCACAGCATTTTTAAACAATTGCAGAATAATAACCTCTCACATCAATTAAAAAAACTACTAGGACTAATAGGAGGAAGAAAAAATTTTAAGTGCTTTTTTGCCAAAGTTCATACATTTTTACATGCTTTAGGTTTTCGGTTCCCTCCTCCAATTAGAGGAATATATATTTGTGTATACTAATATGATTTCTTCAATATACTGTTTGTCAGTAGTGTCTTCAATTAGCTCTACTGAAGACTGTGGACTTTATCATTATGAAATAGCGCTAATCAGTTAAAAAAATTATGTCTGTATCAGCATTACTTGATATCAGTATGGTCTACTGTGCTCACAGTTGTTGTTGTTATTACCAAAACAATTCTTATTATTGATTTGCAACTCACGTATGTACCTAATTTTTGAACGGCAGAAGTAAGTCAGAGAATCCAAACGGCTCACCCAGCTGGGAGACAGGTGATGCTGCATTATCTGCTGCCATGGATGAACAATATTGAGTTGGTAGACTTGAAATCTTTGCCAACCATTCGTCGGCAAGATGAAGATGAAGAAGATTCTTTGAAAGATAGAGAAATAATGGTGAACAGTAGACGATGGCTACGAGGAGAAGGCTGGGGATCACCACAGGCTACAGCTATGGTTCTGAACAATCTGATGTATATGACTGCAAAGGTAAAACTAATTACTTAAGTGCTCCGTCTTGTTCTAGTGGATTGTTGTGTTTAGGGTGCAAGGAAATACTGTTCAGAGAACAGTAACCAAACTTTCAAGAGTTATTGTTCATATTTTTTGAGTTGCTTATGTATACCCAAACTATACCATATAGTTTTGAGGTATTACAAGAAATACGTAATATGTAATATAAATGTTATAGTAATTGTTGTATATAGTAACAGTATATAACTGTTTTGCAGTATAGATGACTAGTTGGATAGATAATACCAAGTCACCTGTATACCTATGATCTCAAAGTGGAGTTTTGGAACTGATGTTGTTGCCAGAGGCTGATAGACCCTCCTCCTTTCTGTGATAGCTACTTCCAACAGAGAAAAAGTATTGGTCACATGCAGTGCTCCTGCCAATTCTTGATATCTTTGAAACCTACTGATAAGAGATCATGTTTTAAGCTACAAATTAAAAACTCTTGGCAGCCTGTGGTCCATGGAATTTTATTCAGGATTGTCAGCAAGTGGGAGAATGGGTGTCTGCTAAAGTTAGATAGCTTTTTTATTTATATATAAATA